TCAATCTTTAACTCTTAAGAATCTAAAGCTGGCGTCTACTCTTGGCCACAGTTATGGGTTTGACATTCAGAAGATTGCGTAAAATTATGTTAATCCTTTTTTAGGAAAGGTTAATTCAGCCTGGAAGAGGTACAGAGAAAGTTTAGAAGGAAACAAAGTTTCATCTTGAAGAGGGTCTTGACTTGTTCAGGCACTTGGCAAGTCAAAACAGTAACTCCACATTAAGTTCAGATAGACAGTGAACACGCAAAGAGAGAAGAACTTTCTCCACTAAAGGATAGTGCTGGCAAGTGAAAAGGGGATCCTCTCTTCAGAGGAAGTTTGGGACCAGCCTTTTACTGAGAAGCAGGTGCAAGAAACCCAAGTAGTTTAAATATAGCTCCTAGTGCATTTCTGAAAGCAAATACACCATTTGGTTTCCTGGAAGAGCTGGAGGATGGAGTCAAAAGATCCAGGCAGTTTCTTTCAGTTTTGAACCCTAAGCAAATCCTTTATATCCCAACATCGACAGCAGGCAATGATACTCAATATCTTGTTCATCTCAACAAATTAACTGAAGTCTGATTCATAGTGCACTCAATTGCAAAGGGTTTTTCTAGAGGTGGTGAAATGCAAGGCTCAATTAAAAAAAAAATTCCAAAGGTTGCAGTGTTTTGTTCTGTGAGTATTAAATGCTATCAGTAACAAAATCATTGCAACAAAACAAAACCAAAACAAAATCTAGTATCATTAGCTACATCTATCAACCTGTTGGGTGAAATTCAGTTCTAGTGTAATGGGCTCAGTTCTGAAAGGACTGTAACACTGAGTTCTCATCCATCCTCCTGGGCCAAATCCTGGGTGCCCCTCAGGATGGCTGTATCTCTGTCAGGAACTGGGATGAACTGTAACTACTGAAATACAAGTCTAGTGTAAGTCAGTGTCATGCAAGTAAACCGGAGAACTTACACAAAATCATTTATCTAAGGCTAAAAAGCAATTCTTTGATTGTATCACACAACACACTAGGCCTGAAGCTGTATTTTTCCATATCATCTTTATGTCAGAATACACAATACCTACATAAAAAGCCTGTACAGTCCATTTATTTGAGCTCTTGGAAGATGCTTTTGAAAGAGAAATAATGTGATTGTAAACTTTCATTTCAGATCTTGGGCATGAAAAAAGTACACGCCCTTTTCTTTCACAGTTAAATGTAAGGCAAAGAGACACTTGTTTTTTCTTGTTCAATTAAAATGAACTGAAAGACAAAGCACAGAAAGCAAAAATCCTTCAAGCATCAACCCCTTAAATCACAGCTTTGTAAGAGAAAAAAAAAGTGGCTTTTCAGCATATGAAAATATTATTATATAGCTTGGCTTTGTGGTTTTGGGTTGTAGACCAAAGGAGAATGTTTCATTTGCAGAGAAAGATAAATCTGTTTCTGTTTTTTCATTCCACAACTATTCAGAAGCATATTTTCCTGTGTGATAAATCATCATTCAAGGCATCTGTCAGATTGCTCCTACTGTTTGCATTGGGTTAAAAGTAAAACCTTGTAACTCTCCTACTTTGCTATCTACACAAAGTATTTGGATGAAACTAAGGCAGGAGGTCCCCACTTACCCTCTCAGTCCTTAGTCAGAATGCCTCACTGAAATCACGCACAGATCCCAGAGAAATCCCAGTGGCAAAATACAACACTGACTAAAACTAATTAGGTCCTCTTAATCAATACCTTGTCAAATCAAAACCGTATCTCTAGATCTGGTACGTGATAGTGTCATGCTGGATCAGACCCACATCCGTCTATTGCAAATAACAATCTGAAAATATTTGTCATCTAGTGAGAACTTAATCCCATCCATCTGGGATATACTCAACTCTCACCCTCCTCACCCTGATATGCTGGGGGGGCCACCCAATCACTGACTAAACACTTTGGGCCAGCAACACTGCAGGCCCCATGAACTGCTGCGGGCTCACTCTGAGCACAGCCCAGACAGAGCACCTTTTGGCAGACTGCAACCAAGCATCAGGAACACAACAAAAGCTAAAATGGAGTAATTTTCATTGTTCTGATTTTAGTTTATGTAGCTCTTCCACCATTCTGCCAGCTTTTTCAATGTAATCCGCTCACTTTGGACATAACCAGGCCTACTTTTGTATGGAAGATGTTTTATAAAGTGGGAGCTTCTCTTGTACATAAAGAGTGTAACCCGTGACTCTCCTGAGTCGCCTGTATTTGCAACTGCTGCATTCAACCCCTGCTTTAATTTCTCTCTCAGTAAAGCAGTATGTCAACAATTCAGACCTCATGGAGACTTTGTAAGGCACCATTAGTTTTCATGCACAAAGCATTTTAGGGTTGTAAATGATTGTTTCATTTTCAGTGGTAGGAAAATGTCGTTCAGCTGAAGAGCAGTTTTGCATCTTACCAAAGAATTGCTAAATCTAGAGTCTTTGTTTAAATGAGTTACATTGTCTGGAAGCTTGTGGAGGGAGAAAGCAAAAGAGACTAACTAGTTATTCACCAAAAGATGTATCTTATCCATAATTCATATTCAGTGATAGCAAGATTTACATATAATCCAAACCTGAGATGTTACCACCATGACTACAGTCTGCCCTTGCACTGAAAAGAATTACTAACAGCTGACCATCTACCTAGAGAAAAGGTATGTATGTCCAGTATTACATGCCAGCAGGTGTTTTTCTTTAGGAAGACCATCATAGTAGTAAATCTTCTAGCATAAAGGCTAAATACAGAAGGATCAAAATTAAAGTTTATGTGAGATTTGAACAGTGGGTGTTATTTAAATTGTGGCAGTATCTTTTAAAAATTATTCTGGTAACCTTGCTCTTTTATTTTTAACTAACACACATGCAGACAGACAGAAAGTCAGACAGCAAGATAACTCCTACCCTCGCAGGCTGCAAAGCCACTGCTGCCTACACACAGCAAACCCAACATGCTGGCCAGAAAAAAGCATGTCACATGCACCCAGAGGTCCAAAATAGTTAAAGTCAAGTTTAAGGGTCAAGATAGTTATGTGACAAGTAATGAGATCCAGCTCTGGGGAATTTCTTTCCATTCAGTCTGATTTCATAACGCTTGTCTGTTTGTAAGCAATTTTAGTGTTCCAGCAAGCAACACGTACATGCATGTACCACCACAGCAGGTCTTCTTTCTGAAACCTTAGCAAAGAGGCCAAGGCAGAAAGTACATCATGTCCAAAGAATCTTTTTAGCTTGGTGTCTCCAAGGTAGGTTTAAGGTATGTGAGCCAAATGCACACAACTCTGAACTGCTGTTGTGCCCCTTACAAGTATTCTTATAAACTGGTACTAGAACTACTTTTTTGAGTTCTAGTACATCTGACAGTACTTAATCTCCACTGACAGTATGTAAACTTTAAATAACTTTAAATAAATTGCCTTTAAATAATAATAATAGTAGTAGTAGTAATAATAAAAATAATTAAAGTAAAGAGTTGAATGATGAAGCTCTCTAGTACATACTCCTGCTAATGAAGATTTTCAACTTCCAGAGGATTATGCTGAACCTCACCAATTATCTTACTTTATGGCAGAACATGAACAGACACATTATGTTCAATGGAAATCAAAATACTGATGTGATTATTTTATGACAGCAACACATAAGAAGCCAAGCTGATGACAGGCTATTGCTGAAATTCCCAGATTAACTTCCTGTGCTTCCATATAGACAAAGAAGGCACGACATCACACGTGAGATGAAAAAGTTGTCCCGCATTTCAATTCGTTGACCACCAGCCTGATAATTTTTGCTTCCCTTGAACCATTAATTACTTTGGTTTGTTTCTCAAAAAGCTCTTTCAGAAAGTCGCACAGAAAGTAATAAACATGCATTACTCATCAGATCCTGGAAATCGCGTTGCATTTATAAAAAGCTTTCAAAATAAATGGATCTCAGTTCTAACACTCTGCCACAACATTAATGCCACTGTACTCCCCAAAACAAACCAGGAACAGGTTACTACGCAGGCATGCGTAACAGACTGCTCTGAATATTACTTTTGAATGTGTTTTTTTTTTGTTAATGTTCTCTGATCCAAATAATGAATAGCCTCCAAATAGCTGTTACATGGTATCTGACTGTATGCACATTTTAATTAATCTGACATCATATATAATTCCATATGGCTAAATGGATTAAATGACATTTTGAAAGATTTACTGCACTGTTAATATCTCTAAATTTGCATCTGGAAGTATCTTGCTAAATCACCAAGTAAACAAAAACTTATTAAAGCAGGAGCTTATACCAGATTTAATAACACAACTTTTTTCTGTAATTGCTACTGAGACAGCTACTAATTCATCACTTTCTTGCACATGAAGCTGAATTTTCTAAGCCAAAACAAGCACCACACAATTGTGCTTTTTTCTGGACTTCTCAGTGGTTTTCCTGGGTAAACAGCAAACTCAGTATCTGAGAAACTGACCAGTGCCACTGCAGCAGAGATTACAGAGAGAGAGGAAGGGATGAAGTTTTTAAAAATCAAAGCCAAACATCCCAACCTAAAATGTTTAAATTAATTCCAAGATACAGTGTTTTGTGTCAACCTAGTATGATGAAGTGTTACAAAAAGAGAGAGGAAGATAGGAAAAGAGGCAAAAAGAAAAGCAAATCATGCTACTACCTTAAGAAGGGGATGAAAATCTCTGCTGCCTCCCGGGAGCTGGATGTGTCCCTCACATTCCAAACCTTACCAGAAAGCTTGGCATCGTGAAACGAAAAGGGTTTACCAAGAAAATGGAGAGAAAGCAAAAAAACCACACCCCAACCAAACAACAACTAAACCCAAGAGAAAAAAAGACAACACCAAAAAGCCCCAAACCAACAACAAAACAAAAACCAACCAACAACAAAACAACAAAAAAAGAAACCCAGAAGAAAAGTTGTATGTCTTTACAGCCTGATGTCTGAAGCTGTAATGCATCTTAAAGCCTATCTACGTCTCTGAAGAGACTTACCACAAGTGTGCAGCACAGGAACTTGTTCATTGTGGTCGGTGGAAGAAACCTCAGCGAGCTGGGAAATCAGGCAGAGAATCAGCTCCCTCTCCAGCCTCCTAGCAGCCTGCTTACATCCCCCTACATTAAAGACACGATATATATATAGTCCTGGTGTAACAGGAAGCTTTGGCTCAGCTTTGATCACTCGTTCCCTACCATGACCAAAGTTTTCTCTCGCGCACACTCTCTCTCCCCCTCTTTCTTTTTTTAAGGAACCTGTAAAACTTGATGACTTAATGGAACCCTTTGAGTGCTGAAACCACAGACTGGAAAATGGAGGAGGGAGTGTCAGGGGCTGGCGAGGGGAGGGTTTAATTGGGCTCTGTCTGGCTGTCTGGCTGTTCCCCCCTTCCCTCCCCTGCTCAGCTGGCTTGGAGGGGTGACAGCCCAGGGACAGCAGCCCCCTCAGAGCTCCAAGCTCACGGAGACATAGATAAAAATCTGGTCTGGAGGCCAAGCCCCAGGGCACAGCAGCAGCCAGGCTGCCACTTCCCAGGGAGGAAGAAAACTTTTTTCAGCCCAGCTCCCCAGGGGTTTCCTGGAGTGGGGCTAGCACTGAAGCAAAGGCCAGGGAGAGGAAAGCTGAGGGGAAGGAGGATC